AATCTGCTCTTTCAGATTTTGATGAGTCCCTGGCACTCCTAACAAAGTCATTTAGGAGGTTTGCCAATAAGAGTAATTTCCGCAGGTCTCCTCAGCTATCCCTAAGGGAAAAGCCAAAGTCTGAAAGAATAGACAAGGCTTCAGCTGTCTGCTACAACTGTCACCGGCCAGGTCACTTTGCAGGTGAATGYAGATCTAAGAAGACTGTGACGCCATCTTCCAAAGCTACTTCTTCCTCCAGGACTGTAGATGAGAAATATTCAAAACTGAGTATGTGTTTTTTCACCACAGCTTTGAAGTTTGGAATAGCTTTGATTTTATGGACCTGATGAAAATGGTGAGTTACTATAACATTCATATACTATTCATCATGAATACAACAACTTTTCAGTATTCATACATCAGTATGATATTAATAATGAACATATATTTCCACTATAACATTCGTCGTGAATATACATATATTATTTTTCATTAATATTTATATATGATCACTTGTATACAACAACTATCTAATATTCATGCTAGTATAATATGTATCATATATATTAATTTTTCACTGTAATATTCACACACACACACACACACACACACACACACATATATATATATATATATATATTATTTATCATGAATATACTAAAATTTCAAATCTACATACTCTAGTTTTTGTTTCTTTTTCTTTATTGAGTTATCGATTGATCTTGATGAGTTCTCAATTTGTCTTGATAGGTTTACTGATCCATCTCGATAAAAGTTGAAAACGGTAGGTTTTTGGTTTTACACAAATAAACACACAATAAATTAATCGATAGGTTCTCAATGGTCCCGATGAAGAATGAAGGTGTTAGGTAATGATTTTACAACTACATACCAAGTCAATGGATGAGTTCTTGACGAGTCTTGACTCGTTGGATTGTCGATCAGTCTTGATTGGTGTCGATCGGTCAGGTGGGTTCTTGATCAATTTTGATGTGTTCTTGATTGGTCTCGATGGGTTTCCGATCCGTCTTGATAAAAGCTGAAAGTGGTAGGGTAGAGAAAGAGGGAGATGTGGTCATTATGCAACCATTTACATTCCTACAACGCTTACAACCAAATTAATCATGAGCGTCTATTTGATCATCAAAGGTTACCATTTGATCAGTTGTAACTACTCTTAATTAAAAAGATAAAATTAAAAAATAGATGGTGGATAGGTAGGTTACATCGGTTGTATTTTAACGCTCCTTTATATATATAATGTCAAAAGATGGGCCTTGAGCCTCCGTGACCAAAGTCATGTGTCATGTCGCCTAATTCCCTGGAATTTTGGGTTCGAAAACAGTGGTTTACATGGATGTTCCTGCTGCTTAAGTCACGCAGCAGGTCTTGCAACACTATGTTTGCGGCTGGTAGTTATGTCGGTTAAGGAGACAAACATATATAGAGGAGTCTAATCAAATGAGAAGTAGATAGTTTATATACAGTAACTGTAAGATTCAATATGAACCAATCATTTAAGATAATTAATAATATTTACTAAAATAAAATAAAGGCTAAATTGGTAATTTTGTTTGACAAATCATAAAACCCTATAATGTGAATCTGTTTGGAATTAGAAATTCGAAAAAAATCTCGATGGCCATTAGTGCACCATCAACATTTCTTCACAACCACCATTCCACTATTTCTTCTTAGCCATATCGGCCGTTGTGCACCATCTTACATCTTAGCCATACCTGCACCATTCTCACCGGCTGCTATGCTCCATCTTCATCGAACCCAGTTCTGAAAAACCCTAGATCTCAATCTCCATCAAATCAGTTACAAGAACTCCAAATCTCTATCTCTATCTCCATCGAAGCCGGCCACCATTGTTGAGACTCTATCTCCATCGTACCTAGAAGAGAAAAGCCTATATCTCCATTCAACCAAAATCTGAAAAATCGAAGGTTTTGCATCAAAGAAAATTTTCCGATATCGAAGGTTTACATCATACCCATTACAGAAAACCTTATATCTCCATTAAACCCAAACCTGAAAAATCAAAAATCCTACAGCAAAGAAAATTTCCAATATCCAAGGTCTGCATCGTTTCTTTCCGGTAAAATCATTGGCTAGAAATCGAAGGTTTTGTATATTAAGGTTTGGTAACACAATAGATATCATATTGGTACCACAGTTGATATCATCACAGGTACGATAGTTGGAATCACAATCGTTTGTATGTATCTTTTTTTAGCAGTGTCAAAGTTTCTAGATATCACATTGTGTATCTTATGTATGCTATGTTTACTTGGTGTTCGCTTGAATAAGGTTTAACGGAGGTTGGAGAGAGGAGATAAGATTTCTAAAATATCTAAAAAGCTCTTTAATTAAAATTTTAAATCATATTACCAAAATTATTACTTTACTAATTTATTTTTTAATTTATGGTTGTGATTGAATCGCACGGTTATCACAAACAACTGAATTCTCCTTTGATTTATGGGCAGAGACATACGAATTCTCTCCGATTTCTCTCATATTCCGATCCATATTTTAGACGAATTTTCGTCTTTGGATATTGCTGTCGTACGAGTCTCAATGTGGATTCATAGGAATATATGATTGTTCTTGTTGGTGTCCATTTTGTAGATTTGTATAAGAATTTATTCATTTTCTGTAAATTTGTTTACAAAAATATATACAAATTGTTATTTTATGATTGATTACTTCTAACAATCACACACTTGAAAGTAGTATTACAACAACTATGATGTGTGTGTTATATGTGTATGTTGACAAGTAAAAGATTCGAAACTAAATGACCTAAATCAAGTAAATAGAACCCGTCCATTCGTATGCCACTTACTCGCGACATGCCAACTTGCATACCTTCTCACTTGATTCTTTCGTCTTTGACAAACACGTTTTAAATGCAACATGATGACGTCTCATACATGTCGCAACCGATGTACATATCGAGAAAAAAGCTCTGTACATACATGGGATTATCTATGCTACATCTAAGTGGCATTGAACTTGCGTACTCAGAAGTATGCGTCTAGCAAACTCACAAAAGCCTGATCAAGTTGAACATGAGTTCACATGTGACTTCTCAAGTCCCATGATTTAAATCACTCCAACAATATTTTTGTAAGAGGATTGCACAAATCGAATTTATGTGCAGTTAAACTCAAACTTTGTCAAACAAAGGTCGAACATCACACTACAAGAGAAATAAATAAGACATAAAGCATGTCAAAAAGCTACTTGACTCCAAACATCATGAAACAAAAAGCTACAAACATGAGAAAACAAAGAATGATCTGAATGACTTAATCCACGTTTCTGCTCATTTTGCAGCGTTGCAGCTTTTTGATAATTAAAAAAAAGACACTAACTTTGTCACTTTCTTCTCAACCCTACCTCCCTGCAGGTTAACGAAGCTACCTCTGTACATTTTGCCATCACCTCCCAAGTTCCATTATTCAACTCTCAATTCACAGAACTGGATTCTATATATGTTTTAATATATATGGTGTTGTGATGGGATCCAATGCTGAGTTATTGGCATCTGCATGGTCATTGGTCAGTTAGTTAATCTTCAAACCCATATGGGAACCATGCAGTGGCATAGACCGAGTTATGACCCTTCCATGTGAGCACAATCATATCATCTTCGGTCTTCATTCCCCAACCACTTGCATGTTCATCTAGCAAGAACTTCACTTCACTAATTGTATCTTCACCAAACGGTACACTGTAAAACCCTAAATTTCTCATTCTTTGCGAGAATTTGGCTCCTGATTCTAGTCTTTCTATCCTTTGTCTCCCTTCGAACCCGATAATGTTTTCAATTTTGTGGCCAATATCGGCTTCATACTCCATCCGTTGACAACTATCTTTTGGCAAGAAAGTTTCCAATGCATCAAAGGGGATCCACATGAAATTAAAACACGTGGTGATTCTTGATGCTAAACTTGTTGATCCCAGATCAGAATCTTCGTCAACGATTGTTAGTACATGAGGATTCAAGCTTTTAATTACCTCGAGGAATGAATCTTTCGAAGAAGCTTGATCGGGCATATACCGTAACCAGTTTTGGCAATTAATCACCAACGCCTCATCGTCTTGGAAGAGATTTGTTTGGGTTAGAAGAAACTCGTAGTTAAAGTTGAAGGAAGATTCTTCCATGGAAGGAGAAACTTCAATCACGTTGAATTCGAATGGAACGTTTCTAAAGTTGGCGAAATTTGTTAAACGCATGCCTACTTCTTCTGTTAATACATTAAGAAATGGAGGCACTGATGGCCTCCAAGAAGGGACAGAGATGCGCAGACTAGGAGGCCCTTCAGTCCTCTTAGCAAGTGCATCGATTAGGGTTGGCCATTGCATACAATGAGTGATGCTAAAGTCCAAAATATGAACTTTAGGACACCCTTGGATAGCCTTAAAAATGGCACTATTTGATGCACAAAATCCAAACCTGTGCCAAGGGATGAGATCAACATACCCAGCTAACTCAGTCACACTCATTAGTCTCCTCTGAAAGGCACTCCTTCCCCCATTGAAGTTCATCGGTGTAGGGCAAACCCGGGAAGACCTAGAGATGAGTGCCCTTAAGAACCATGATGCAAGCCTTTGGTTAGGGTCTCCAGAGGTAGAAGCAACGTTGTTGAGCACCCACATGACTTGTTGAGCGGAATTGATGTCACTGTTTTCGAGTGCGTTTGCGCAGTGTAGGAGAAGCTTTTCGATACAGGCTCCATCAAGGTTACCTAGGCAACCTTTGAGTGCGCCAGAGAACGGATTTTGGTGCGAGTTGAAGAGGGTCGAACTCTGGTTTGATAAGGAAATTGAAGTGGTATTTGATCGGAGTTCGGCTTTCATGTCGATTTGAGAGATGACTTGAGATCTATACATGTAGAATTTAGATCAAGTTACTGTTATACTTTCATGGTTAAACATGGAACTAATGCTTTGAGGGTTATGTTGGGATGAAGGTATCAAAGTTTGGGAGAGAGAGAGAGGGGTTTAAGGTCTCCTTTCTTGTTTACAGAAGTACAGAGTAAACCATATATATACACACATACTCTACGGTATGAAGCGGATTATGCCAAAATAATTTGCACGTATCAAAATTTCAATGCGTTTTTTGACAAAAAATTTGGGTTCATATTAAATATCTAAATGTCATTTGATAATGATATCATTAAAAAAATTATAATTAACAAAGAGATTGAAATTAAAATATGTCAAAGAGTTGTATTTATTTTATGAAAAACCACAAAAACTTAAATATAATGATTTATTTATTTAAAAATTTATAAAAACTCAATTGTTTAAAATATAAACATCCACATAAATAATTTATCAAATTACTTGACAAATGATTTATACCTTAAAATGATTCATCAAATTAAATAAGAAATAGATCGTCCACGTAAATTTAATTTAACAAATCATCTAAAATACGATGAAAAACACGCCTTAAAATGAAAACTGCTTGGACTCAATAATAAAACACATATCACCTATCAGAATGATGAATTTATTTTCCTAATCTTAAAACTAATTATTTTACTCATAGTGGTTCTTGTATTTTAAATAGGCAAATATTGAAATTAAAATTTGTTTATTTTATTTGTATTTGTAAGTTCTATTTATTTTGTCATTATAAGTGATATTTTGGTCACTTAATCAGTAATCAAAGATTACTATTAAATCATACATAAATTGCATTTTTTTTACTTTCGATATCAAACTTTTAACTCGAAAATTTCTTCATTAATTCATTTTTTTTAATTAACTTGCAATATCCAACCCGCTATGCGAGCCGACTAATCCCAGGATGATCACCTGCTTTGCAGATAGCCCGGAGTCACCGCATTTGAACCTTCGTGGCCACAAAAGAATTTTTATTCCTCTTTAGATTTGAACCTGAGACCTGGATTTTCATTATTTCAATTTATGTTCCACTTGAATAGATTATACAATTTTTGGTGTCGCAATTAATTATAAAACCAAAAAATGAGTTTAATAATAAACAAATGAAATGCATATGCTTGGGGATCGAAACAATTACTAATAAGGTCATTTAAAAAAATATAAAATAACAAAATAAAATCTATATTGAAATAAGCATATATATATATATATATATATCTCAAAGTCCACAATACAAGATAAAAAATTCTCAGTCATTTATTATTTAACGTAACAATAAATTATTATTTTAGCCTCAATTATTCTAAAAAAACGTTTATTTCATTTTATTTCATACTAATTTTATATAATAAATAGGTTTTTAGTCTATATATCACTAATTGAGTTTTAGGTGACAATTTTTTATGTAATCAATAATTACAGTATTGTTTGACAACTTAATTCTTTACTTGATATTTTAGTTAGTTATTTAACGAAAAAGTTAGAAAACATATTAGCTGTTGAAATATATATATCAAGGAAAATATTATCGGTCAAAAAATGTGTTATTCATGATTATATCAATTTTTGATATATATATATATATATATATATATTTTGTCTGATTCAATTATATGTCTTTGAGGCTAGCAATCGTCATATGTCCTTTGTTGTGGACTTTGCAAAAAAAAATTTCCTATTAAAATCATGCATAAATTAATCTAAATATGAAGAAAAGAAAAACAAAAAAAGGGTCAAAAACCTTTGGATAAAACAAGGGTTTTCTTATTCATTAACTACTAATAATAATTTGTATTTATTGATGTTATGGATATCTATTTTATGGATCCAAATTAATCTATAAAATATAACTAAATTAAACTTATTTAATATATCACATTTAAAAGTAGACCCTGAGATGTGAATCATCCGAAGCACATTAGCACGACGTATCCTCCTGTTTGAACTAGGGTTTGAAACAAAACTTTTGGGTGTTGCTCTATCATAAAGGGTAAATGGGTTAAGTTGTACGTTTTGTGAAAGTATTTGGATTAAGAAAACGATTAGAACAAAAACTTTTGTCATCCCTCTAAAGGTTAAAGTAGTGCTTAGGGTTTGGAAAAGTAGAACATGGTAGATTCATTATATTTATATAAATAGTTAAATCCAACTTTAAAAATATTCAAAAATGAAAATCCGTAAACTTCATGATTCCAAAATACTGCAATTTTCATGAAACGGATCTGATATAGGGATTAGATATGACATAATTGACTACAAATGCACAAAGTTTTATATAAAACCTACACTTTTACATTTTTACTTAAAGTTAAAGTCTTCAAAAACATGTAATTAACAATTAAATATATATTAGAAGATGAAAGAATATTGTAAAACAAGCTCTAAATAAAAGTAGCCAATGAGCAATAAGTAAGCACGGCTTGAAAACGTTAATAAAAAGACAATTTTAATTAACGAGACATTTCAAATTAAAAATATTCATAATTATGGTAGCATTTTGTGTCCAAGTTTGATGCATGTATGGGTAGTTGTTTGTATGTCTTATAAGTAGGTTAAAAAGGGTAAAGAGTATGCCAAAGAGGTGTCTTAGCCGGCCATTCGTTTGTCGATTTATGAAGTGATCTGAATCTCTTTTTAATTAAGACAAAACAACTCATATAATTAATCTCACTACTTTTGTTTTACTCTATGATTGATTGCTACACATCATTCCATCATTCCAAACTAATATGAGATATATGAAAGATATCATATTTGTTTGCTTGTGTTGTGTAATTCCACTACAAAAGACAAATGAGTAGCCCTCTTACACAAGGACAAAGTGAATTATGGGGGGTATACTTTCTCTTTTTCAACTCCAAGTGTATCATGTGAGACTTCTTATTTTGCATAGAATATTTGTGCAATATTTTTCAGTGTGTTGTGTCTTTTCTTAACAGGAGTACCACTCATTGGTGCATAGGAGAATGTGATCAAGAAATCTTGGAAGAAAGTAGGGCAAGCAAATTGATATCAAAAGGAGTATCTAATTAGGTGGCATACAATTTTATAAATACTTCAATATTCCCAAAAAAAGAAGAAGTTAAATTAACAATAATCTCTTAGTTTTGTTGGCAGATGACCTTGCCTACAAAGAGAGTATTGTTTGTATAATGTATCTAACTCATTGTGATATATATATATATATATAGAGGAATAGAGGAGCGTTCAAATGCGAACCCTCTCCGTTTGTGTAAACCGTGTGAATCAATCTCAACCATCCATTTTCTTGATCAATGGTCAAGATTTGTAGGCTTTATTTATGGAAATTAAAAATAAAAATAAAAATAAAAATTCAGTTTATTTAATCAATAAGGGTATAATGGTAAACATAATTAACAATTCCTAAGCTCCTAATCTTTCATCAGAATCCCGTCTTCATCGCGAACATTCCCAAATCACTGCAAATGTATCACTTCTTCCCAATCGAATATAGTGTTTCCAAAATCGTCGATCATCAGGATATTTAAGAAAAATGGTCGGCAATAATGGAGGTATGTCGAATAACTTTGAAAAATACAATTCATCATGTATCACGATGAAAGTTGTGCATTAATCTCGAATAACTTTGAAAAATAAAACTTACATTACAATGAAATTATTTCGTTACAATGAAACACTTTCATGATGAATGTATTTCATTAAATTTTTTTTTTAAATTTTTTTCATTACATATTTCACATGAAACTATTTCGTTATATATTTCACTTTAATCTATCTCATCATACACCCGTTTCATTATAYGTATATTTCAAAAAGAACAAAATCCAATATGCACTCGTTTCATGACCATTCTAACAACAGAGCGGTTCAAGTTCTGATACAATGCATCATGTATCACGATGAAAGTAGTGCATTAAACTAGCTATACTTTCTTAACTTTTCACATGAATCTATTTCATTAACTTTTCCACCTCAATCTATTTCATTAACTCTTTTAAATTAATCTACTCCATAATGCACCCATTTCGTGATACGTTAATTTCAAAAGTAACAAAACGATTTATGCAACAGTATCATGACTATTATAACAACTAAACGCAACAACTTCATATACATTTTTACATGGATCTCAATGAAAGTAGTTCATTAGATTTCGAGTTTGTTAAGAAAATGAAAATGTTTCACTACCATGAATCGATTTCATTAATTATTATCCAACGAAATCTTTTCACCTTCTCCATTAAAAAAAATTCACAAGCACTGTTACTGCGATACATGAACTATCATGAATCTATTGCATACACCTTCATATTTTTAATTGTACAAGATACCAGAATCCTCATTCCATTGCAATTTCTTAAAATTAAAGATTTTAATAATATATTACAATAAAAGCTTAAAACATTACCATGTTTCATACTTTCTCCTAATAAATTTGCCTTAAATAAAATATATTACTAACTTCCTTAATTATCAAACTTTTTTGTAAAATGACATAAATAACCTTATCAATTAAATTTAATTAAAAATAAATGGAATTATCTTATTGGTCGAACTTGGTTCACACGGTTTGTAAGAATTGGATGGTTCGCATTTGAACCTGCCCCTAGAGGAATAATAATTTATTAACCAAGTAAATAGTATTAATTTTGTTAATTAATCTAATTTTTTCATTTTTCTTAACAAGGGTTGTGATTAATGAGAGGTTATAATTTAATAAAAAAGGAAATAAATAAAATTATATTAAATGAAGGGCATTTTTGGAACAAATTGTTTTTATTTTTGGAAGATAATCCTATTATATTTTTGAAAGATAATCAATAATATTATTTAATGATTTTTAATTTTTGAAAGATATTCATATTTATTTTTGGAAAATAATTAATAATAATATTTAAATGTCTTTGTTTAAAGATAAAATCAGAAAGTTTATATATGAAATCAGAAAGAGAAACAACGATTTTTATGTAAAGTTTAGGGTTGGCCCTGGCCAC